CACAAATGTTCCCAGATGGATGGAAATATTTTGATTAATATTTTCAACTGTAGTCAAATGACTTGACTTATTCTTTAAGGTACTTTATTTCTGGCTTAGATCTTTATAAAATCACAGTATCATCTGTTCTATAGAACTTTCATAAATACTCATCTTGAGTATTCAGGAAACCCTGAAGGACTTGGTTAGTATTAAACATTTTTTAGCACATTAAATATATGAAAAGATTGGTGAACATAATTTGCTCTGATTGCACTGTTACATAATAAAGCACCTATAGCTATAAATAATGTAATGCAAGGAAACCAAGGATTACAACAGAAGTTGCTATATTTTCAGTAATTCCAAAGTGTGGATATATATATATATATATACATATATATATATATATATATATATACATTATACAAAACCATTAAAATATGTTTGGTATGTCATGATCCTTAAGAGCATTTTACTTTTATTTCTCCCCAGACTGTAAGTTATTTCGATTATTATTTTGTGCTGTATGTGGACTGTAATAAAAGCAAGGGATTAGAGCTTTTTCTCTTTAAAGGCAACTGGGATTTTTCTGTCGAATTCACCTGATATTGAATTTCAGACAGGGTCAGGCTCAAAGTTTTTATTACAAGAAACTCAAGATGTGTGAACACAAACAAATAGAAAGGAGTCAGACAATGTTAAAGATGGCAGACAGTAATTTCTTCTATTTTTCAGTTACTTTTCAGATGTCCCTTTTTTAGACCCTACCTGTAGTACTGTTACTATAGGCTCAGCAATACTCGTTAAACAAAAATCAGAAATAGTGTCAAGAGGGTATAAGTCACCTGCTAATAAATACAGATGAATCTAAAGAAGATAATATTGTGCTGTCCAAAAGCAAGTATAAATCCCACCATCCGACAGTCAGCTAAGAATTTATCTAAAGAGCTGCATGACCTACTTCGGCCCTCCAGGAGAAAAATCAGCAGAGGTCAGTAATCACAGAAAATTCTCTTTTCAGAGTTATACTGAAGCCAGTGGACTCCCTTTGTGCAGAAAGCTAGCAATGGCTCTCTACTGTGCTATTTTTTTTTTCCTGTATCTCAAGAGAGCAGGAGAAATGGTATGTTCAGCCACATCAGCATTCTGCCCTCCACCTCACCTTATTCTCAGGTTTACCAAACACCCACAGAAAAGCTGGGAAAGTCAGTGCAGATTTTGGTACACTGACCAAAACTGAGTCTTTTGACTCTTCTTACCTCGACAGAGTAGGAGTAACATGAAATGTAGAAGTTACCCTTGTTACGTATCTGGGAGAAAGGTCATGTCTGCCTGTATAATAATTAATATATATATAAATAATTATGTATATACAAATAATATATTATAATTTGTGAAAAAAAATGTAAGCAAATAGACAAGCAAACTCCATCTGGAATATTGTTTCCAAGACTTCCACCTACATAGGAAGGATATTATTGCCTTGGATACTTCCATATTTCAAGAATCTAAGTTATGAAGGCAGATTTGAGGCATAGCAGTTATTTATTCTAAATACAAAATTTTAAGTTATCAAAAGTAACTGCATAGGATTCACAAAAAATATTTTCCATTGTAGAAATGGGATGTACGTTTCAATTTTAAAAATTGCCTGAAGCTTTGGGGGTTACTAGTGTTTTTGACAGTCCTGCAGATTCTCACCACAATATACAAGGGCTTGTCTGAAAGTAATGCCGTCTGTTTTATTATGTTGGCCCATGACAGAGAGGCAGATCTTGGTGGTATGGCAATAGAGATTGAACGTTCCCACTGATATTTCATTACATCTTGTTGCCGTGTGACAGGTGGCAGCAGAGGGTTAGTCTGACAACACAACAATTAACATAGAAGTGCAGATGAAGTAAAGGTATATCACTGAATTCCTCCCTGCGGAAAAAAAATGCCATCCACTGACATTCACTGATGTTTTCTTTGCATTTATGGAAAACAAATAGTGGACATGAGCACAGTGGTGGTGGATAAGGCGTTTCAGCAGCAGTGACAGCAGGTCACATCCACTGGTACAAACTTTTACGAGTACGGCATGCATCTCATGTCTCTGCTGGTGACAGTGCATAGCAAATGGTTGTGAAAAATAAGTAAAAATTGAAAAATAGTGTTCAGTAGCTAAGAATTTCCTCTATCAAACAATGCTCTCATTCTCTTTTTATCTATTGTAGTTTCCTGGGAAATAAACAAGAGGTATAAATTTCAGAACAACCTCACATTAATACAAAAGATATAGGATGAGAAATCATAGATTCATTGAATGGTTTGGGATGGAAGGACCTTAAGGACCATCCAGTTCTATCCCCATGCACGTGCTGCTCAGATTTCTTCACACAGATAGTCCGTGCTTAAAGAGGCCACCAATGTCTATGAGAAAAAAATTCATGGCTAAAGCTCATTTCTGACACTGACTATCTTTGCATGGACGTGTGTCTTCCTATGACGGGACATACGGCAAAGAAATGAAGTGCAGATGAATGTGACTGCTGCTCGTCCAGCTTGTGATGCCTCTGCACCCCTTTTCTGCAGCAGTAGGCTCTGCAGGGCTGCCACTGCCAGGGCTCTACACTCCAGGTACCAGCAGACAACCAGGGAAGGGGAGAGAGTCAATGCGAGCAGAGGTTATTAGACTCTCACAATAAATGTCCTGGGGAGACAGACACAGATAGATACAGATGAATTCGAGGAACTTGGATTTATTGCAGAGGGATGATATGGGTGAGTATGATAAAAGATCAGGGCCGAGATAAACTGAAAAGCATTCAGTGAAACTCTGCTGGTTTCTGAATTTGCCTCCTGTGAGAATTGCTTTGATCCAAAGAATGATCTCTGCAGGCATACCAGCGCATGATAACAGAATAACATAACACGTTGGTATTTTTGGTGTGAGTGGTTCGTGAAATGAAGTAAGGCATCCCTCCTATTTCGGAACCAGGATTTAATAAACGATTTGTTCTGCTCTCTCTGTCGTGGATGCACGTGAGAGAACACGGAGGGTCACCGCACTGCACCGACGCTCGGGCGAGGCCGGGCCGTAGCTCGTTCCTGCTCTGCGGAAAGGACGGCCGCGTCCCGCGCGAGGCTGCGCAGCGCCGTGTCCCGCTTCCCCCTTCCTTGTCACTTTCGTGAGCGGGCGAGCCGTGCCGCGCGGCGGGGCAACGGCATTAGGCAGGGCGCAGGGTGCACGGCGCGGGGACTGCCGCTGTTACAGTGACACGGCCGCGCTGCTGCCCGCGCCGCCGGTTTATCTTTATACAACGTACCATCTCGTTACGCTGCACACGACGGAAAGGCGACCTGCCATTCCCTGCCCGGACAAGCGACTCATCCCGACCTCTACACCAGCGGCGCGGGATGCGGCCGAGCCTCTCGCCGGCGAACACGGACCCCTCGGGAAACCCCCAGAGGCTCTGCCGCAGCCCGGCCGCCAGACCCATCGCAGGGGCGGAGCCGCGGGACCAGCGCCCCCCCGATCACCGCACGCCTGGTTACGTAAGTGCCAGCACTCGTCGCACCACCCCCAATCCCGCCGGCCGTTATGCAATCGCCAGCACACAGACCTACTGTACCACGCCCCCACCCTTGCTCCGCCTCGCCCCGCCTCCGCCCGCCTCCATTGGCCGTCTCCCGGCGGCGCCAGTTGCCGATTGGGGCGCGGCGGCCGCCAGTCACGGTGCGGCGCGGCTGGCATGCGGGCTGCGCGCTCCGTGCAGCGCAGCTCTGACCTACTAACACACATCCCTCCGCGCCGCCGTGGCCGCTGCACGCTCTCGCTCGTCTCGCGTACGGGCAAGCGGGGCGACGCTGCCCGGGGCACGGCGCGGCACAGCGCAGCGTTCTCGCCTCGCCTCGCCTCGCCTCGCCGGATGGTTGGCGCCCCGCCGAGCACTGAAGGTAGGAAGGCGCGGCGGGTACAGACGTGCGCGGGGCGAGGCGTTGCGTTGCTTTGCGACTGGCGGCGCCCTCCCGCGACCGCGCGTCGCCAGGGTCCGTGGCGGTCGTTACATAACGCACATCGCGCCTACGGCCGCCGCCGGAACGCTGCGCTGCGAGTTCCAGCGCTGCGCCCTCCGCGTCTGCGGGGTCGGCCTTCCGTGCCCGGAGCAGGACGCGCCGCTGGGCGGGGTGCAGGCGGGATGCCGCGGCGCGGGCGGCTCCGTCACCGCTGTCGCAGTATTCCCGGCGCCGCGGGACGGACCGCATCGTAGTTCCTGGAAATGTGGCATTATGTAACGCGGAGCCGCTGGCGGCGGGCCGGGCGCGGCGGGGGATCCGCCTCGCGACGGAGCGACCCGGGCCGCCGCGCCGTGCCCGTCGCAGGGTCCGCCCCGGTACGTTTAGTCCCCGCGATCTGGCAGCGGCGCTCGACGCGCTTTCGCGTCCCGGCTGCGAGCGTCGCGCCCGCGGAGCCGCTCCTGTCGGGCGGTGCTGGTGGAGGCGCTCCGCCGGGCGCCGCGCGGTGCCCCGGTTTCGGCTCTCGGCCGCCGTTCCTCGAAAAAGAGACCGTCTCTATGAGGAGGGCCGTGCCGCGAAGCTGTCACCGCGCCGAGCGGCAGCGGGACGGTGCCCCGCGGCTGGCGGCGCGGCACGGCCCCGCCCCGCCCCGCGGTGCACAAGTAGGTCAGTATGACAGCCTCAGCCGCGGCGGGCAGCGCGGCCGCCGGGGGCGCCGCCGCCCCGGTCCCGCTCCCCGTGAGGCGGCCGCGTCCCTTATCCGCGAGGCCGTTGGCGGCCGTTGGCTGCGGCCTGGCGGAGGACGGCGGGCGCCCCGTGGCAGCGGGTGAGGGCTGGGGGCGCTGCCGCTTCCCCCTACCCCGCAGCCCTTTGTTCTGGGCCGAAGCGGGCGGGGGGAGGCGGCGGCGGCGCGGGGCCGCGCGGAGGGAGCGAGCGAGCCGGGCCGGGCCGCCTTTTGTGGCCGCCGCGTCTCGCAGCGTGGCTCCGAAACCGCCGGGCGGCACGGCCCGGAGCTCGTCGTGTCCGGGCTGCGGCGGCAGACAAAGGGCCCGTGCTCAGCGGCGCAGAGTGCCTGCGGGCGAGACGCAGCCCCGTCGCCATCCCCGTGTTTTCGGCGTTCTCCTTACGTAACGAGCGAGTCAAAAATGGCTATTGCCCAATGGTGCTGTTTTGCCAAGTCACTTCGGTACTCCGTGGCACAGCGCTGCTCTGGGGTCAGGCCGTGCTTCGTGCTTTCCGGGAGCAGCCCTGCGAGCGCTGCCTTAAGCGTTTGGCAGTTTTTGTGTGTGTCCGTAAAGATCCTCCAACCAGAGAGAACCAGAATCACTCTTTGTGAGCAGGACCTCTAAAGGTAATGTTAGCACTGCAAACGCTTGCCCTGTGTTTCATAGTAATTGCTGTAGATAGCAACAGTGAAGTATTCAAAAGTATGCAGTAAGTGCAGTAGTGTCAATAATGCGCAGGCTTTTCTGTTGCTTGTTCTTGGTTGTGGGGGTCAAGTTTAGCTCTGATGGCAAACCCTTGGAGTTCTGTTAAGAGCAGCAAGCAGCCTGATTTTTCCTTGTTCTTGTGAGTTGAATGGGTTGTTCTCAGCTGCATTGTGCTCACTCCTGTGTGCGTAACCTACTTTGAGTCATTTTTGCCCTCCTCGGTAATTAATTCAATCCAGGGGGCAGTTTAAAACAATGCCTCATGCATCACTTTTACATCTTTGTTCAATCAAAATGTTGACTTTGATAAGAAATCTGAATGAATAAGGATTTGGGCTGTGACCTACAGACCCAGTTTAAGCCAACAAGCTTGAGGATTACTGAATAAAAGATCCTCAATATTACTGGCAGTAACAGATAACACTTCAAACACTCTCACGTTAAAGACATATTTGTGTGACTGTTGAAGTGCTAAACCTCTGTCCACTGGTCTTTTTATTTCTATTTTTGACTTATTCTGTCAGGGACTCATCCTTATCTATCCAGCTTTGAGGATTTGACTTTGGAGCTTCATGTTTCTGCTGGTTTTTGTTGTTGTTGTTTGTTTGTTTTTCTTGTAAAAAGAGCAGATCTGGAAGGTGTCAAAAACCTTAGAGCCTTCCCATGAGCAATATGAACTTACTTGACCCTCCATATCTAATCTTTTCCTAAGGAAGAATGGTGTTTCTTATGCTTGAGCTGAAGTTTGTTAAATGTACAGACGTTGTGTATTGCAATGCAAATAGTGCATAGTCCACAAAAGATACCAGTACCATGCTGTTTTTTTTCAAATCTCTATCGTGAAATAAAAATCAGAAACAAACCTTTAACTCATTTTAAATTGACTTATTTTAGCAGATAGTTATGCAAACTATGTTTATGCAATAGGTTTTTTTCCAGTCAGTAATCTTCCTGTTATAACATCACTATGATGCAATAACATGAACAATAAAATTCTCTGTTTGTGTCTTATTACACACCGTTAAGCAATGTATCTGACTCATCAGCTTAATTGACTCTTCTAGGTGACCTTGCCATGATCATTACAGCCAGTTATGAGATACAAATGTGCTTAGGATATGTAATATAAAAAATATGCAAATAGATGGCCAATTGCTACAGTTTGCTCTAAGACAAAATGTCAGATGATTTCAGTTACAGTATTTTACAGCATATGTAGAGAAAAAAATTATATTTTTAAATTAGGGTGTGTAACTGTCTAATACCAATAACAAACATGACTGTCAAAAATAGGATTGCATAACCAAGAATATACTTGGGCTTGATTCAAAATGTGATGGAAGCAACGTTCTTAAAAACTTCTTGTATTGAGAAGTAGATCTGAAATAAATTATGATTGCCCTCCTTAGAAATCCTGTTGTTTTGTTTTCTCCTTATTCAACTATAGAATTGAATTTCATATTTTGAGGCTGAATCTGGTAACAGATAACACACAAACCTGTCCTATAGAAAGGCTCATTTAAGAACTTTTTTCATTTTTTGAGTTGTTCTTGGTGTAATTTTCAATTTTGTCCTAATATACTTGAATAGTTACTAGTTTTACCAGTTTTTGCCACAGAGATAGGCTAACTGCAGTGAAGCATGTGTCAGTGCAGCAAGAACTTCTCTAGGGAGTGGTGCGTAACTAAGAAAAGCGTGGTGCAGGTGGTGGTGCTCTTCAAAGCTGGCCTGTCTTGTGGCACTGGAGCTCTGACGGTTGCAGCTTTTCTGTTTCATTTGCAGTAAGTGGTAGATATCAGCATTTTACAGATTGTGTTTATTTCATGTTTGCACTTCGGTTATATAGCGTGATACATGTTTAGAGTACCTGCTGGGATTAATTGACATAATTCTGCTGCTTTTAAGTAGCGCTATATAAATTTAGGTCAGCCAAAGGTCTGACCCATGCTTGGCATTTTAAGAACACAGTTCAATTGAAAAGAGCCTTTTATTGTCAGAATAATTAACAAGTGATTTTATATTTTTTAATGGTCCTTAATTAGGAGAACATGGTTCTTATTCCCAGAGCACTGTTACTGTTAAGTGATTGCTTTGTGCAGTGTAGTTTTTCCTACATCACGTAGCTGTTGAAATGAGAAGTGTATTGTTACTTCAGTGCCTGCTGTTTCTATTGGGATTTTAGTGAAATTTTGGGAAGTAATATGATAGTTAAATAAAGTGACACGATTTATATACACATACATACACCATATAGTATGTAAGTATAATTAAATATTTACATGAGTAGTACATGCATTTCTCAGTTTTAATGTTTCTCCTGACACTGAGTAGCATTCTTAGAATGCTACTTGCTCCCCATACCCTATCCCTGCTTATACCAGGGCAGGTAGTGTGGGGAAAAAAATGTTAAGCAGATCTGGTACAACCAAACAGTCTTCCTAAGAATATGTGAGTCAGATTTGCACCTATTAACCTTGATTGACCTTTCTGACAAACTGCTAGCTTTTAGCATATGATTAGTCCCTCCAAAATAGTCATTTTATTTGCACAATTTGTGTGATTTACCTTTGCAAAGCAAGCTCTATTTCAATGAATGAGTTTGTAATTAAGATAAACAGCAGCTTAAATAGTTACTGTAAAACAAAAAATCTCTTAAAAAAAAAAAAAAAGTGTGACAATGACTATGGGTACAGATTGGAGATGGGTAATACAAAAATGCAATACTGCTTTTATTATAGTTATGAGCTTAGTTTTTTAAAGATGTGATTGAAAAATGTCATAATAAAAGAATGATTCTTGATGTTTCCATGGAATACATTATTTAGACATTACCATTCATTTCAATGAGCAAATCAACGTTTTAGCAAAAATAGGTCATCTTGTACAAAGCTATCATCATCAGTGCTCCAGTGACCTAATTACATGTTGATCCTGGAACCGTAAGCTCTTAAGATGTCCATGAAGTTGTAAGAAATGGGAGCTCTGTGCAGGAGCCAGTAGTCCTGTATTGCTCCTTGCTGTTGTAATGGATTCATGGTCTATATGAATGTAACTATGTAATAGCAATAATTGGTGATAACATCCATACTGCTAATGCTTTTCCTTTCTGTGATGTTGAGTAACTTGTATGTTACAGCATAAATTGCGCTTATCTTTTTTTTTTTTTTTTTTTCCTAGAAAGCTTGAACTTAATTTGTTCTAAATTGCCTGGACCCTCTTGCCCAACAACTCATCCTAGGAACAGGATCACTCATTATTGCAGTGGAGGTAGCATTAAAGCTTTTCTTAAATAGGAACGTAATTTTGCAGACAAGACAAGGTGTGTTGAACAATTTCATTGGAGATTGGAATTGGATTTGGGGGGTCATGTCTTCAGCTGGAGAATATTTCCAAATTATTCTAAGCCTGACAGATGTAGAGAAACCTGTGGCTTAGTTTTTGTCTGGGAAAACAAGCAGTTGTAGAGTGGCTCACAGTAGAGGTTGAGTGGTTCCAAAGTGTTTAAGCAGTGTTACAATATGTATTCATTACTAAAACTTAGAAACACAGCTTTGTCTCCATTGTGTGAGCAATGTGGATGATTATCTTTCTGTACCATGTAAAAGTCTTTAGATAGTTAGCAAATGTTTTTAAAACATTTGGAAGATGACAGTATGAAGTGTGTTCTTCAGTTTTTCAGTTTAGAATACAATCTGGCATTTTGCTACTTGTGAGTGGGTTCTACACTAGCTTCTCTGATGTGTAGACATGTTTTCAAAATAAATAACCTGTGACAGAATGACAGCAGTATAGCTTACAAGACCTATGCAAAACATGGGAAACAGCAACTAAAAGCATGCACAGGCATTTATTAGTGTGAGCTTTTAATGTATTTCTGCACTTTGCCATATAGTGGTTTGAGTTCTTTATTTACTATAGACAGAAATGAAGTCATGGTTCTTTTTTAAAATATGAAGCTATATTTAATCTTTTTTCCTGTCTTGAGGGGTTGCAGGATGCATTTGGCCACACAAAAGTGAAGTTTGTTTGACAGCAATCAATTGTTAGAAATAGTACTTAATTTTGCTTGATAAGTCTATCAGAGGAATAGAATTAGTTTTCTTATTCCAGGATCTGTTTTGAAATATATGCTTGGAGAGAACATGAATTATTTTTGTAAATACGAATAGTATTTTGATAAATGCAAATAAGTTACCTCACAGAGTAACATGCAGTTACTCTGTGAGGTAACTTAAATGTATGTGTGGAGACCTATGTACATTCTCAAAAGCAGAACTGACTTGTGTAATTAGATTACACAAAACAGAGAAGCCAGATTGTGAACGTGTCCTTCAACCTTCTGAAATATTTCTGATATTACAGTGTGAATACAGAAATCCCTGAGATCAGATCCTGAATGTACTGTTTTGACTCAATCTCGCATTTAATTTATGCACAGATCTCAAGAAATACTTTTCATGATTTCTGTATGCATAACTTTTTGCTTCAGTACTGTGAGTTCTGTAAAACAGTCTCATTAATGCTTGAAACTGGGAGTGTATCTGCTTCTATTCAAACCAATGGCATAATTGCTGTGGGAGCAAGACTGGGTCTGTAGTTAATAGGGTTGAGTGTTACTGCATTGTTGAATTGGCTCTCAGTGTCATTAACATCAACTAAGTAAAAAAAAAAATAAAAATTCAACAGTGACTAATGTAAGGCAATGTTAAATGTTGGTTTTATAATACTTTATGAGGGAGTGATAAAACAATTGAAAAATTAATCCTAAGGGAAAATATTGGAACTTGAAATATAGTCAGAGGAATAATTACAGCTCATTAATTCATATATAAATACTGCATTTTCCAGTGGAATAATAAAATGCAAGTGAAGTGAAATGGCAGTTTTTATTGAAGGTGTTTTACCATTGTCATCAGATGTAATTTACTTTGTTCACAGACTTAGTACTGGTCTGATCCACATGGAGAGGTATTAAAAAACAAAACAAAACAAAAACCAAAAAAACAGGAACTCTACTCCTGCTTGTAAAGCAGCAAGTCCAGTTATATAAGAGCTCAAGTAAAAAGTGGAAAGCACTAAATAAAGATTTATAGTAGTTTTGCTAGTTCACAGAAGTAATGGCATTAGAAAGAACTACATAAATAGCGACTCAGTATGAATGTCAGTAGTTTACAGTTCTGTCTTTCACAGTCTTACTGGTGGACTCTGGCTGGGAAAAAAGTTTGACTAGAGCACAAAAAATACTACTGTTTTGATGCATACATATATGTGTAAATATATACATAGGTGTAGACTTGCATACAACCTACATTCTGTCAATTTGTGACAGGAGCAATGTATATGGGAGGGGGACTGGCCAAAATAGGAGTTAATCAATGCTAAAATGAGGAAATAGCTTGCTAGAATGGCCCAAGCCATAGCAGTCATGTGATTTGAAGGATACAAACTCTGTGTGCTTTTAGGTTTTGAGTGCAGCTCAGTGCCAGCATTGAGATTGTTTGAACATGCAGTTGAATTTTTACTGATACACAGACAGTATTGCTGGCAAAGTATGTCATTAGTCTACGTTCATTTGGAATAACAACAAATGTTTTGCTAATTATTTTTATCCATTGCTTTCAGTTCTTGTATTTTCCCTAGATCATAGTGTTGGATGAACTTTGAGCTGGAAACTACACAGCCATGGTTCTTACCTTAGGATAGTCACATTTAAAACTTCTACAGGGGGGAAATGCAAGATTGGAGTATAAGAGGGGAAAAAAAAACACACATTTGTATTGAAAATGTGTAGGCAGCATCATTCTTCCAGAAATAAGGATAAACCCTATGTTTTAAAAGTACTTCCTTGCCACTGTTACTGTTTCAAGTAAGTGTAGATGTTCCAGGGTATCTTGTATTTGTGTTCTATACATAGAAAATTATGGTGTATACACATTAATATCCCTTTCCTGAGAGAATGTGTATTACTTGGCTTCGAGTTTAGCTCTCAAGTACTGTAAAATTAAATCAGTTTCCTGCAATGGTAAGGCCTTTAAATTCCACTGTAGTAATTTTTAACACTTTTAGCCTCAATAAAATTTGATTGAGTTTCATATTAAGAGACAGGTGATGATTTCTTAGGTACTCAGTATATGTTAAACTGCATATACTTCTATGTTATAGAAGGTGGATGCATTTCCAGAGAAGCTTGTACACTGTTAATAGCACAGGTGAATAAGACTGATGAATAAGGATGACTACGGATCAGTAGCTGTGCATTCCCAGTGCTGTGGGATAATGAAATTAAATCTCAGTATTTTTCTCCATGTTTTGTAAAACTATCTTACACAGTATGAATATTTTTCAGGAAATTCTGGTGACCTGTCTTATTCTATTTCATTTCTACTTTTTAAAGTCCATGCATTTTATATATAGTGTATATATATGTATATATGACATAAGTTACACAATGTAGCACATTCGTGTTTTGTGTATATATATATACATACACATACATATATATATGTATATATAAAACGATAGCAACATTTTATATGAAACAGATGTTGCTACATTGTGGAGCTTTTTTTTTTTAAAAAAAAAAACCTGATCCAGCTGCTATTTAACTTGACAGAAATTTCCTTTTGACACCAGTTAAAAGTTTGGATCAGGATTTAACTATGTAATTACTTTGTTTTACAAATACAGAAATTCATGTTGCTGCTCTGGCACTGAAGCATTAGACAGTGTCTTTGATGTGGCTGGCTTCTAACTCTATTTTCCATTAAGTCTGTATTATTGAAAACAAATACTTTCATGTCAGTAATTAACTATGGATTTTAGGAAATTGTACTTACCTGTTCTATTAAATGCACTGATTTTCTGTGACAGAAGAATTCTCGTGGTTTTATGGAACACAACTCAGCTTGAAACCTGAGTCTCTATGACCCTGCTTTATTGTTATTATATCATTCACTTCCTTTTGCTTTCTGGAAAAGAGAAACTGGCAGAATATGATTCATTCATTCTTTTGTAACATTCCAAATTGATAATATTGAAATTAGTATCAGTAGTAATTGTGAAAACATTTCTGATAAATAGTGATACTAATTTCAAGTTGCTTATTTGTTATTGTACAGGCAAGAATCAGTGCTGGAGCAATAATAAGTGCTATAAAAACAATTTGTAATACACTACATTCATTTTACCAGGAACATGACATACTGGAAAATGAGATGGTGAGAAGCTGTATCTCAGGTCAAGATCTAATGATAAAGTATTTTTTGCTTTAAGAGGGACTAAATTTAAAAAATTTAAGTGCTGAGTTCATTTTTAATGATCAAAGTGTCTTAATCTAAATGTTAAGCTAGTTTTCTTTGCTAGTGGCAAGACTTTTTACACTGAAGTGAAAGTTTAGATGTAACACTGCTATTCAAGGATGCGCATGCCTCAGTAGTATTAAACTTTACTTTGATATAACAAAACTACTAATCAAATTATGCTAATAAATGTTTATTCTCTAATGTATTTTTCAACACTGGCTTCAGTATTTTCTTTGTAAGAGATATGAAAAAAATTACCCAATGCATTTCCTTCATCAGATTTTTTTAACAGGCAGATGTCAGAATCTTGTTTGTTTACTTTTTTGAGTCAGTATGATTGATTAAAAAAAGGCATGCTAAAACCCTATATATGTGAATAAACATTTGTATTTAGGTATGTCTATCTGTTTACATTATTTACAGGGTACAAAACCAATCATTACATCTTTAATAGCTTTAATGGATAGTGCTGTGATTTTAAGACAACAGGAAGCACTCCAGTATGTCAAAATCAATTTAAGTTATTTTTTTAATTCATGAAGAACTCGCATACAGAGCATTTCTAAGTCAGGCACCACACCTGTCTTCAGAAAAGATGTTTTAAGTAGAAGAACAGGATACTTTTCAGTGCTGCTCATCAATGTGCCTAGTGTTATGTATTAGAGATTTCAGTTGGTCAGTGATATCACGAAATGTTCTGTCATTACAGTATGGTACCATCAAAACCCACTTTTTAAATTGATTTTATTTTTTCCTCTTTGGATCACATTGTATTTGCTTTGGAAGCAAATCTGCTACCTAGGTAGAGTGCAGAGTATTAGTTGCTTCAGCATTGATCCTCCTTCAGGCAACAACAGGCTTAACAAACCTAGTGCTACTATTTTTAAAGTTACTTTTGCATTCCCCAAGCCAGTGGTTTCTAAATAGTAATCAATTTCTCTGCTTTTTCCAGGTTCTTTTTTTTCCCAGAAGATTCCTGTTGGCTCTACCAAAAAATTGGATCTGGGCACTTTTGTTTGAAACTATGAAACAAACAGAAGAATGTGTGTGGATTTAAAACTATTGTATTTATCAAGTTGTGGAGTGAGAAGTACTGAAGAAATAGCTTGCTCTATTGCTCACTGTAGATCTACTTCAAATTGTTTCTGATGCAGCTGAGAAAAATGCAGACCCTTAAAAAGGAACACGGACCTGTTGACACAAGTAGCAATGTGGACAAAATTGTGGTACTTAAATCTACTTTAGCAGAAGTGTCTGAAGAGTTGTCTACAAATGAAGATATACTACTTACTGAAGCAAGTAGTGGAAAAAGCAAATCTTCAGCTTGTCGGAGAAAGCGAGAATTCATTCCGGATGAAAAGAAAGATGCTATGTATTGGGAGAAAAGGCGGAAAAATAATGAAGCTGCCAAAAGATCTCGTGAAAAACGACGGCTGAATGACCTTGTCTTAGAGAACAAACTAATTGCACTGGGAGAGGAGAATGCCACTTTGAAGGCGGAGCTACTTTCATTGAAGCTAAAGTTTGGTTTAATTAGTTCTGCAGCCTATGCCCAAGAGATACAGAAACTCAGTAGCTCAACAACTGTGTATTTCCAAGACTATCAAAGTTCCAAACCAAATATTAACTCATTTGTAGATGAACATGAACCATCTGTAGTTGGTAGCAGTTGTATTTCTGTCATTAAGCATTCTCCTCAAAGCTCTATGTCAGATATGTCTGAAATGTCATCAGTAGAGCATGCTCAAGCAAGTTGTATACAGAGCAACTGCAGAAGTCCTGAAAATAAGTTTCAGATTATAAAACAGGAGCCCATGGAATTGGAGAGAGAGCCAAGAGATGACAGAGGTTCATACAAAGCATCCATATATCCAAACTACGTGGGAACTACCTTCAACATGTACTCACATTCTCCTCCTCTCTTGCAAGTTAATAGGTCCTCCAGTAATTCCCCTAGAACTTCAGAAACTGATGATGGAGTTGTTGGAAAGTCATCTGATGGAGAAGATGAGCAGCAGGTTCCTAAGGGTCCAATCCATTCTCCAGTAGAACATAAAAATGTTCATGCAACAGTTAAAGTTCCAGAAGTGAATTCTTCTGCTTTGCCTCACAAGCTTCGAATTAAAGCCAAAGCCATGCAAGTTAAAGTGGAAGCGATGGATAATGACTATGATGCCACACAGAAGTTGTCATCGCCTATTGATATGTCCTCAAAAAGACATTTTGAGCTTGAAAAACATGGTGCACAGAACTTGGTGCATTCTTCTCACACTCCTTTCTCAGTTCAGGTGACAAACATCCAAGACTGGTCGCTCAAACCAGAACTCTGGCATCAAAAAGAACTCAATGTAAAAATTCAGAATGGTTGCAAAACTGGAGTTGAAATAAAAGACAATGTCTACAATGTCTCGGAGTCTGAGAATCTGTATCTGAAGCAGGGCATAGCAAACTTATCTGCAGAGGTTGCTTCACTTAAAAGACTTATAACTACACAACAAATTTCTGCATCAGACTCTGGTTAAGTTACTACTGAGTAAAGGCTTATTGTTTAAAAAGATGTCATTTGCAGTAGATAAATGTTTTGTATTATACTGAATTTTCACTGGACTTGTGATGTCATTTCACTGTAATGTTCACATAACATCTGATTGGTGTCTTTTTGTGCACAAATTATTATGAAGACTAGGTTGTGTTATGATCACTATGCCTTGTGTATAGTCAAGTAGCCTGTACAAAGGCTGTATATAGTGAACTTTACTTTTTGTTGTTCTACTATAAAGTGTGTAAGTTACCAGTTATAATAAAATATTGGTGACAAACACAGGACATCTACTCTAGTTGATTAAACTTGTAAATAAGTTGTTAATTAAAAAAAAAAAAAGGCTTTTTCTTACACTGTGCTCAACTTCACTTACATGTTTGGTTTTTACAGCTTAACTTAACCAAATTACAGTTTACAACATATGTAAATGTTCTGGCCACTTTTTTCTGTAACAGTTTTTTTTTTTTTTAGACAAGAACAGAAACAAAGTGGATACTTATAAATGAATCAGTAACAGTTCATAGCCTTAGCCTTCTTTATATTATTTCTTAATGTAAATTAACCAAAAATCACATGGAATCTAACCCATTAATTCTAAAAGCAACAATCTTTTTTTCACCTCCTTTCTCAAATGAGAATATTTTGAATGGTTTATTGTGACAAACCGTTTTTTTCAATATTATAATGATGTTTTAGATGATATTAGCTATATTGTATTTGTGCATCTTTTAAGTTCTTCAAAGCCTTGCACTAATAAAGTTAGATGCCACCATCTTTGTCAGAGGGTTGTTTGTGTGTGCAGGGAGTGCAGGCATAGAAAAGAATATGCACAGATGCTTTTACACAGCTTTATCCATTTTGAATTCCATGGTTCTTTTTACAACAGAGCATCAGCCATGTTCACGTGAAGGATAAGTTTTCTGGATCTGTGGACTCTCTGCTCTATAAGGCAGATATCTACACCGGGGGCAGGCAACAGCAATAGCAGAATCATTAGAAGATCATTTGCTATTGTAGATCCATTCTGGGATATAATGCAAGAGTAAAGTGAAACTTGCCACCAATTTGGCTTCAGTTTCAACATCTTAATTAAACTGGAATACCTTGGCTTAGTACAGGGCATTTTGCAATAATTTCTTATGTAAAATAGTACACGGAGAACTGTACAACTCTGATACTAAAGTTTATGCAGATGATGAGTTCTTCTCTTGATGACTTTAGTGTTCTTCTTCTTTGAGAAGAAACACTGAACCATGGATAGTAGGATTGCATTATACACCCTGTGTTTTGGCTTTCCAAAGCCTTTACTTACAGATTAAAAGTGAGTTATGAATGCAACATAAATTTGGTAGAAGTGCTTTTCATGCTAATTCCACCTTCTTTTAAAGTACCAATAAATCAGACTAACAAATAAACACTTCCTGAAAAGGCTTTTTACTACTTGCCATGCTGTATAATAGAATCTTACCATAGACTTAAAATACTAATTAATAGTAGTGGTTTTTAAATTCATACTTGACTTGAGTGAGAGAAATTTTGTCAATTTTTTGGGGATATGAAAAGGAGACTTGAGTTACTCCTGATAGCTCTGAAGCTTGGTCCAGCAGTCAAGGCAATGGCAAAACTCTCTGATGTCCGCAAGGCCAGGATTTGATGCTGTTATCTTTTTAGAAGCTGATGATTCACGGTCATGTTCTGGGTGGACCTTGTTACAGACATCACTGATACTTTCTGAGTTTTTTTGAGCCTTCTAACTGCTGTGCTGTATTTGTGGCATTCAGAGCTGATAAACTGTTATTCTTTTTTCATGCCTTAATAATACGATAGACCCCATAGATGGGTTCTGTATGTATTTGGTAATTAACATAGATGACATTTCAATGTTACTGAAAATAAGCTCAGGATTACTGCATGAAATGTAAAAATTTGCATTGAATGATGGGGATATGAAACATGAGGCAGTGGTTGCTACTGGCTCTTTGCTTGCTAAAGTATCTTCTGTAAGCAACAACAAAATTCTCTAAGTATTTTGCATATTATTTATCACATGTAATGTGTTCAAAGAGAGGACTTAAAACTCTCAGTGTTGCCATCTGTGTAAGCCTAAAACTTGTTTTTTTTTTTTTTTCCATTTCTTGTTACAGTTGTTTGTCATTATGGAAGAATGTTGTCCTCCTTCTAGCTCATTATATATTTTGTGTATCTGTTTTGTGCAATTAATACTTAACAGTGATGATGTAGTTAATTTGTTGAAGGATGTCATTGCAAGAAAGTTATAGCATGGAGCTTAGGAGCACAATCAGATGTTATTTATACACCCTTTATACCTTAGTGTTATGCTTCATTTGAAGAAACAAATAAATAATTTGTCTTTTGTTGAAAACCAAAACTAATCACAACACGGTTTTTTATTACATTCATTGCGTCTGTCCAACACGTGTTAGCAGGTGTTTTTTCTTCAGTTCTGCAGCGGATGACAGAGATCTTATACTGAAGTTACTACTTCTGTGGCCAGAATTCAGAATAGCTTGCATGGGCTGAAAATAGAGCATGGGTGGTACATACAAAGTCAGACTCTTGGCTACAGTTTGTCTAGATAAATCTCATCTGAGGCAAGTGTGGTATAGTCAGCCTATTCATGAAAGCCCTCATCATCTGCACTGATTTTTAGCCTGCTTTTCTTCAGCATGTAGCATCAAGGAAGAGCCTTGAGTAGGGGGAGGGAAAGAACACAGTGAGATCCTGGCCTCCAGCTTTCGGCTGGCACTTGTGAGCAGAGGAGCTGGAGAATCAAGTGGCTCTGTGCTACTGAGTCAGTCTCTAAGAAAGCGGTATCTTTGGCTGATCTACTAATCACTCCATTGGAAGTTCAAAGGTTTGTTGGAGCATGAAATGGGCTTTACCTAAGTTGGATATATAGTGGTATCACATCCTGTTAGGTTATAAAAGCTCTTTTAAGCTTAGTGATTAGCTGAGAAAACATAAAAACATGCTGAAAGTAGAATCTTTCCCACACAAACAGATTATTAGAAAGCTGAAAAATGACTGTAAAGTGTGCCTTCACTTAGGAATATTAAAGAAAATCATGCATACGAAATGGAAACTATAGAGAATTATCAGTACGAATTACTTATTTTTGATGCAAACATAGGAACTAATCATGCTAGATAAGTTTGGCTAGTCCTGAATCCTGCCTGTGACAATAATATAAATGTCTTCATTGAAAGTTTTAAAAGCGAATGCTAAATAACTGTTGATTAACAAGGTAAGTTTTTTTTCCTAGTAATACCAACTGGTGGTTAATCAATACTATCAGTTATGAGAGTCAGCTCCTCTGTTACATCTGCCTAATTTTATTTAAAAAAACACAATATATTCTCGTGTTCCACCAGCACCTACATTTTCGTAGGTAGAAGGATTAAATGTGGATGTACCCATACCTACATCAGTCCTATACATCATGGTTTTCTGAATCTCTTGAATATTCTGCCTTCATTAAATGGAAGGCAGCTGGAGGCCATTGTGCAGATGGAAAGCTATGATATAATCACCATCATGGAAGTGTGGTGGAGTGACACACAGCTGGAGTGGTATGGCTACCAAGTTTTCAAAAAGGCAGGAAAGGCGGTGGTGTGGCCATCTGTTAAGAAAAAATGTGAATGTCTGGAAAGTAATGATGTTGATGACAGAGTTGAGAGCTTATGGGTCAGAATCAAGAGGAAGGCCAATAAGACATACATTATTCTGGGAGTCTGCTACAGGTCACCCAACCAGGATGAAGAAGTAGGTAAGATACTTTAATAGATAGTTGGGTGAGATCTCACAATCTCTGCCCTTTGTTCTCTTGGGGGACTTCAACTTCCCGGACATCTGCTGGATTTATAACAGCAGAAAGAGAACAGTATAGGAGGTTCCTTGGAGTGTGTGAGGATAACTTCCTGACACAGATGGTGAGGGAGCCAACAAGGGGAAGCAAACTTCTGGACCTGTGGTTTGTTAACAGAGAAGATCTTGTTGGGGATGTAAATGTTGGAGGATGTCTGTGGCAAAGTGATCATGAAATGATAGATTTTTTAATCCTTGTTAAAGAGAGGAGTCAGCAGAACTGCCACCTTGGACTTCTGGAGAGTACACTTCTGTCTCTTTCAGACCATAGTTGAGAGAGTCCCTTAGGAGGTAGTTCTAGAGGTCTTGGGAGCCCAGGAAGGCTGGGAATACTTGAAGGAAGTAATTTTAAAGGTGCAAGAGCTGACCATCTCCAAGTCATGAGAGATGAGCTGATAGGGAAGGAGACTGATCTGGCGGAACGGAGAGCTTCGGCTGGAATTCAGGAACAAAAGGAAAGCTTATGTTCTTAGGGAGAGGTTGCAACCAACTTGTGAGGATTACGAACATGCAGTGAAGCTTTGCAGGGAGAAAATTAGTAAGGCCAAAGCTCAACTGAACTTGATCACTAAGGTGAAAGACTACAATAAATATGTCTATAAATTTTAACAGCAAGAGGAAGGCCAGGGAGAATCTTGATCTGTTGGACGCAGAGAGAACACAATGACCAAGGATCAGGATAAGGCTGAGGTACTTAATAGAATCATAGAATGGAATCAGAGAATTGTTCTAAGATCTTCAAGTCCAACCACAGCCTAACCATACTACCCTAACAACCCTTTGCTAAATCATGTCCCTGAGCACCACATCCAGTTTTTAAACACATCCAGGGATGGTGACTCAACCACCTCTCTGGGGAGCCAGTGCTTAACAACCTTTCCTGTAAAGAAGGTTTTCCTGATATCCAACCTAAACTTCCCCTGGCAGATCTTAAGGCCATTTCCCCTTGTCGGTGCCCTATTTGCCTCTGTCTTTAATAGTAAGATAGTTGTTCCCTGGGCACACCGTCCCTTGTGCTGGAAGAGAAGGGTGGGGAACAGAATAGGCCCAGCATTTTCCACGATGACATGCTTTTGGACCTGCTCTGAAAGCTAGACACTCACAAGTGTATGGGGCCAGATGGATTGCACCCTAGAGTGCTGAGGGAGTTAATGGATGTGGTTGCCAAAACACCCTCCATCATCCTTCGACAGCCCTGGCTAACTGGGAATGTCCCGGTGGACTGGAGACTGGAAAATATGATACTGATCTTCAGAGATGGCCAGAAAGATGATCCTGGTATCTACCAATCAGTCTCAGCTCCATGCCAGGGAAGGTCATGGAACGGATAATCTCAGAGGCCATTACTAATCAACCAGGGGATCAGGCCCAGTCAGTCAGTATGGGTTTATG